ATCTCTATTCCGACTTCTGTTTCTGCCAATTTTCCTAAACTAAGAAGATGTGAGCAGGTCACCCAATGCAGGACAGAGAATATTGGAGGCCACATTCCCAGGTAGGGAAAAGAGACTGAGGGTTCCTTCCAACATCAGGGTTCAGCCTCCTGCCCCACATTGGGCCTGACACTGTCTGTGGGCTCCTCAGTGGCCCAGCGCCGTTCCTACAGAACAAATGTTGGCACAGTCTGCCCTGTGATGCCTCCTGCTCCTGATGGCTTTGCACTCCTGCCGCCACAAGCAGACAGGAGCTGAGGGGGACATTACTGTTTGGTTGCTGTTCTCCTCGTCCCCAGATCTAGTCCTGCAAACCCAGCGGGAGCAGCCATCTGTTCAGACTGCTTCCCTGGCCCCAGAGACTGGTTGAGGTTGTCATCTGACCCAGGGTATGTCCAGTGGTTCTTCCATGGATTACTTTTCCCTAATGGGGCGTGGAGGAGGGAGTGTCTCCTCAGTGGTCCAAGCCTGTAAAGACCTCAGCTGGAGCTGCTGGAGCTCAAGTCTCCACCATGGGCATTAGCTATTTTGAAAGGAAGAAGGCCCTAGCATGAGAAGCAGAGCAAAGAGAGGAGAGGGACGATTATCAGGACCTTCAGACCCTGTTTCCAGGCAGCCCTGAGGCAACTTCCCTCTGAGACTGGATAGACGACTCAGCGATGGGCCTCTTGCTGGGGAGGCCGGTTCACTTTTTTTACTTTGACTTGCACCCGAAGAGCCCTAATACTGAGGACTTTCTGCTTTCAGTTGGACTCGGGTAAGTCAACATCAAAGTGTTTTCGGCATTTAGCTCTTCCTTACTTCGCCGCTGCCTTTTCTGCCCTCTGTGGCCTCTCTACTCATGTGCACCAACCCCCCACACCCCCTATCATTCCATGCGCTGCCCACACCCAGCCTTCCCTGCACCCAGGATGGGTGATCTGCCACCGGCCACTACCACTTAGCTTATCTCTTGTGAATTGGTTCCTCTTCCTTTTAAACATTCCCATTTATTTGTCTGGACCTATATGTGTTTCTTGAGAAAGACAGTAGATTCCTTCAAGGCCAGGAATCTCTTTATCCCAATTCTTGTTGCTTAATATCACAGTTCACACACAATAGCCCTCCACAAATATTTGCTAAATAAATCAAATAAGATTTCCCATCTCTCTGGCAAATCATTCCTGACAAGTGGGAAGAAAATCAGTAAATTCTTTTTTATTCCTTTGCTGGTGCAATTTGTAACTCTGACTCCTGCTGTCATTTCACAATCTGCTCTGACCCCGCTCCTTGTGTTTAACGTCAGTACTGTAGTGAGTTGCCCAGTGAAGTGATCGCTGGGTGGTAGGTGGAGGGGTGGGCTTCCTGGACTCCCTATCGCCTCCTCTTCAGCCAGTACAAGTACACATAACTTGAGTTGAAGCCTGGTGTTGGCATTGCATTTACACCCTAAGGCAGGACAACTCTTCGTCTATAGAAATTTGGGAATCATAGTCTAGAAAGAAAAAAAAGAAAAGAAAGGAAAAGGAAAAAAAGATTTAAAAAGAAATTTGGAAATCACCCCTTACTATAGTGTTTATATTTGATCCAGGTAATTAGTAAATTTAACTTAATAAATGCTTCTGTGGCAGTCACTAAATTCCTGGCACTTCTCTGAGCATTTTTTTTTTTTTTAAATAGATGACCGGTAATGGGATCTTAACCCTTGACTTGGTGTTGTCAGTACCACGCTCAGCCAGTGAGCAAACCGGCCATCCCTATATGGGATCCGAACCCGTGGCCTTGGTGTTATCGGCACCGCACTCTCCCGAGTGAGCCACGGCCGGCCCTCTCTGAGCGTTTTAATTACATTAACTAGTTCTTCCTCGTAACAATTGTGACAGATAGATGATACAATTGTTACCATCAGCCTCATTTTACAGATAAGGACATGTTCAGACAGCAATGGGTGGTTAAGCCAGAATTCAAAATAGGCAGGCTGGCTCCAGAACTTATGTCCTAACCACTGCCCAGCTGCCTCGAAATGTGATCAGGGTGGGGTCTACACTGCACATCTGTGCCCTGCAAATTTGAGTTGACTTTCTTAATTTTCAAGCCCCTCAAGAGCAGGTCTCCTTGACCTAACCTACCCAGCAACATGTGGATATGTGTTTAACAGATGTTTCCAGCTCATTGACTCACTAAGGCTTGAATACAGGTTTGTTTGTGTCATTCTATGCAGTTAATTGTTCACATCATATTCATTGTCAGTCCTAAGATTTGGCTCCTCAAAATATATTTTCAAACAACCTAGGAATTATGCCAAGAATTTAATTATACATTGTACCAGTTTTGAATACTAGAGATGACTTGCAGGCAAATTGTGTGTTATTTAAAATTATTAAAATGACAGTAAATAAAATGTGACTCTGCCCCCCAAAAAGATAAATTTTCATGTCCCTCTTCTCTTCTTATTGCTCTTTCCAGGTGTCTAAGATCATATGGGACATTGGTGCTCATAATTTCTAGACTTTTTCTTGAATTTTAATACATGTTTTTAGCTGCGCATTAGCCACCAGTACTGTTCAGCAAAAAAGAATCAAATTCAAACCCTATTCTGTGTATTCACCTACAATGAAAAGAAGACATGTGAAAAACACCTGGGGCGGGAGAGGGGAGCTGTTTATCTGATATGGGGGTTATTCATAGTACTGGATCCTTTTGGGAGCCAATTCTTGTTGCCTCAGGGTATTTCTAAATTGAATATCATGAATAAAGTGTTTATAAATAGTAAGCATAAAAAATGAACACAATCATTCCAACCACTCCCTTATGTAGTCTCAGTGGCCTCCCCTTGCAACTATCAATTCCCTTGGGTTAGTTGATTAGTTGATTGGGTTAAATTGGTAGTTCTCAATCCTATCAGACCCAACACCCTATTTTATAACAAATATTTTAACCCTTTTATTATGTTTAAATGAAATTCATCATAACAAAATCTGTATACACAAAATTAAATAAATATAATGGCTTCAAAGTAATTAAAAGAGAGATAATAAGAAAGTAATTTATAATAAATTAATAACTATTTTAATATGTAAATAATATATTACAATGGAAGAAATAATAACGTTAGCAGACATTTGCACCTAATGTAGTTTCCTCATAATGTAATACGGAATATACGTAAGAGCAATATAGACTGATAGGCATGTGCTGTATTGGAGATTCAAAGTGATTATAAAATGTATAACCTTTCTTCAATTTATATAGTAGTTAGGTACTCGTGTATTGAAACTGTATAAGCAACTTTGTGCTTATATGTAAATGGGTTAGCATGTTGGCTCAGATCATTATAAGCACATAAGTTTTCAACACATAAGTAAATCTTCACTATGACATTCAAACAGGATGTGGGGAAAATTTTTTGTTTTGCAGAACTGTCCTGACCACTGCACTATTCTAGTCATCCTAAATGCCAGTAATGCTCCCCAATTATTGTGTCATTTAAGAACAACCCCCATAAATTTTCCAAAATGACCTCTATTGGGTGATAACTCCTGCATTGATAACCACTGGGTTAACTCCTAGTATTAGATTTAGCCCCAAATGATAATTACAATTTATTCTCCTGACTTTTCATAGTCTGAAAACCAAAGGAATGTCTACAGTAAAATCCTCAGTAATTGGGTTAGTTAAGAGACTTTAAGTTCCATGAAAACAAGGGCTAAGTCCATCCCATATGCACAATAGCTCAGTACTTAGCACAGGATCTGAGCTTTACTAAGTCTTGCTTGAAAGAGTAAATAATTTTGGGCTTAGATATCTGGGTTAGTGAAAAGATACACGGTATTTAAAATACATAGTTGTGTTACTAGTGCCTGTGACAATACCTAGATGTTCACTAGGAAGACTTGTAGTTAAGAATTAGTTGAAAATATCATTTCAGTTGTTTATGTTTGAATGAGTGACATTAACATGTTTGAAGACATCTGGAACCTATCAAAGAGCCAAAATTCTCATGTCATTTTGAGTAAGGAAAGGAAACATGTTAAAGATCCCGTATGAGCTGTGATCCTTGGCCTAAGAGATTTGCTTGATTTTCACAATGGTTTGTGAGGCAGCTATTATTAACCCTAGTTTTACAAATGAGGAAATTAGGCTCGACAAGGCAAATAATCTGCCCAAAGTCAGATAGGGGGTTCAATGGAAGAACAGGGTTTGAATCTAGAACTGTCTAGTTTCAAAGGCTTCATCTTTCCCAAGAAATCGTGCTGCCCATCTTCCTAAAATGGAGCAAAACTGGGTCTCTGTAAGTCTACATCTGCAGGACCATGAGCTATGGATATGTGAGGTCCATCTTAATATAATTTTACTCTATATGTAGTTCCAATTGTCGTGTCTATTAAATTTCACTTTCCTAATGGCTCAGTGATTTTTACATTGATACTGTTCTTGGTCAGGTTCCAGGATTCAAGGTCATTAGTGAGCTTCCTGAGGGCAGGGACTCTGTCCTCTTCATCTACGGGTCTCTACAAACTGATGCCTTGGATTGAGTTTCCTACAAAATTTGACCCCTACTATGACAGTGTTAAGAGGGTGGAAAATCCTATTATGGTCATTGAAAGGTGGAGCCTTGAAGAGGTGATTAGATTCTGATAACCATGCCTAGTGAATGGATTAAAAATGGTGGTCAGAGGTGTGGCTCTTAGGGCTTTCAAAGAAGAGCACAAGAGGTTAGTCTCTCTGCTCTGCCATTTTCTGCCATGTGAGACCCCAGGGTCATTGTCACCCCCACCAGATATGTTCCCCTGACTTTAGACTTCCCAGCCTCCAAAACTGTAAGCAATAAATTTCATTTTCTTATGTATTACTCAGTTCTTTGTATTTTGTTATAAACAACAGAAACAGACTAATATACCTGGCAAGATGCCTGGGACAAAGTGCGTGTTCAGGAAGTGTTTGTTGAGTTGACTTTAATTGAGGGATATTTCTCCTTTTAGGCCTTGGCCTTACACAATATTTCAGCGAGGCTTTGACCTGGTTTTGGGAGAGCAGCCCTCTGATAAAATATTCAGGTAAGTGGTTGTCCAGAGACTTGCTTTTGTGTATCTGCAAGCCTGGTGTCCCACTTCCCATTGAACTTTCTTTCCTAGTGGTAAGGTATAAAAACGGGAAACAATTTTAATTGTTCTACCCATTTCATAAGAAAAGTGCTTGTCCCCAAGTCATGCCCAGTGACAGCATGTAGGACGTTGAAGTCAGATTCTGTTTGGGTCCTGGCTCTGTGAAACTCAGTAATGTACCCAACCTCTTGGAGCCTCCAGTTTTTGCACTTGTTAAATGGGACTATGTTACCTGCCTGGCTGGATTGTCATGAAGATATATACAAGATAATTCAGGAACAGTCCCTGCACAAAACTGGCACGGAACGGGCAGTCAGTGTCAATTTCTCCCTGTCTGTTTTGCATCTAGTTTGCACTTATTGTTCAAAATGAATCTCTCCCATCCCTCCCTCCCCCTTTTCTAAACTCTACCTCATTATGATTTTCTTCACTACTCTCCTGATCAAATTAGATGCTTCTAGGCCCTCCCAAATGTCTACCTACCATAGCACATGTTAGGAAGGCCCACAGCAGAGGAAGAATTTTGGTGCTGGCCATGAACTATTGGATTTTCATAAAATTTAATTCACACCAGGCCTTAGCTGGAACACAAGTTTATTTCCAAACTAAGATCATACTGATCATATTGATTCTGTCAATCAATCCTTCACTTAACACATTTGCTGAGTACCTATTAAGTACCTGAGATTGTGCTTGGCCTGGCCGTATGGACAGGAACCCATCTTCCTCCATGAGCAAGCCCCATCACAGAGGAAGTGAATAGTCCCAACATCAGCCACTTGATGTTAAAAGACGAACTCAGCTACTGCATGCCTTTGTAGGAGAGAAAGCGAGCAGCGTGGGGCAAATGGAAAACTTGCTCCCTTCTCGCTGCACCCATACAGTTTGCTGAGTCTAACTGATTCACTACCACCCTCCCCTACTCTTTCCCCAGACCCTCCCCATTAGCCATTCCTGGCCAAGGTGTTCATTTTCTCCTGCATTTGCTTCCTAGAGCTCATTCCTCTGCAAAGCTTCTCCTGCTTCTCCCGGTACCTTGGGATGGACTCAGTGTGGTTGCAGTACTGTTCTCCTAAGGCATGCTTCAAGCTAAAGTGCAAACGTACAGAACCACCTCCTCAGAGGGCCTTCTCTTGCCCCTTTCTCTCCTGAGTATTTCTCCTGTGCCAGGCTGGGTCATGTTAATGACAGTGGCCCCAGGCTGCTTTTGAGGATTTGTGCTACAGAGATGTCAGCTATATTCCTTGGACTATGGCTTGGACATTTAAACTCTCTAGCAATGATTTATCATTTGGCTGACATTTTTCTCCCTTTGTCCTACTGCGGGTCTTCCAGGCCCTTTGAAAGGTGATAAAGGTGAGGCAGATGGGGAGCCTGGTGGAGTTTGGCTAATTAACATGGATAAGTTCCCTGTTACCTAAAAGTCAGAAACTAACACTTTGACAAACAAGGGCCTTAATGAAATTGCTATTAGAGAAGAACCTAGGCAAAAACTGTGTTTCCATTCCAACAAGCACCATTTATTTTTTCAAACTTCTTCGCTGCCAGCTGGATGTGATACCCAAGCACGACGGAGGGTATCAGTTGTGGGACTCCTGAGGTCAACTATCTCAGAAGCCAATAGATCAACCAATAAGTGATTAATAACTTTGGTCTTTAACATGGCAATAACTAGCCTCTCAAATGAAAGCAATGGTTCATGGTCTGCTTATCTTAGGTACTAGGAACTTTACAATCAAAACCACTCTGGGATCTGAATAAACCACCTAGCAACGGCCACTTTGGAGACATCTATGACCTAGTCAGTGATTGCTACAATGTATTTGCTACTCTGCTTTCTCATGATTTAGTGTTCTGATGACTTCCAAGCCACCGTACATTTTCCTGGACTATAGAATAAATTTTAAATTTTGATATTCCAATCTTTTTACCATTTAATGTGAACACACAACTTTAAATAAGCTGCTCTTCTTGTAACTGACCCACTGTCCCCAATAACTTGAGTATCTTCCACTCTGCACATTTTCTTATATCCTTTTCTCTAGCAAGAATGCATATTCTCCTCCTAATATAAATACTACCCATTTTTATGGTCCAAACCAATTCTCAGCTAAACCCAACATCTACTGAGCACCTTCTATTGCAAGGCACTGTTTCAGATGCTGTAGGTATGACCAAACAAATATATGACCAAGATAGTCCTTCAAGAATTTACAGTCTCATCCTGGAAGTGATCTCCAACCCTGGCCCTCCGGGAGAATTTCGAGTGTGCTTTAAAAATGACAAAGGATCATATCCAGCTCAAACCAATTAATTCAAAAGTTCTGGGAAGTGTGGTCAGGGCATGAGTGTTTTTAAATGCACCATGGTTATTCTAATCTGTAGCCAGGATTAAGAAACATTGCTCTAAAGCTTCTCCAATGCACTATACCAATTCATAATGACTTTTCCACCCCCAGATTTCTATGATACACCAACAATAATACTTGTTTGTCAACTATTTTACTTCCTATTTCTTTTTAATTTGCCTATTTGTTTCCCCAATGAAATGGTTGTCTTCTTGAGGGAAGAGGTGGTACCCTATACAGCTTTAAATATTTAATATCTAATATACAATTTTGAGCACAGTAGACCTTCAAAAGATATCTGTAGATGATCATTTCAGGTGTTTCCTAAGGACTTGAAACCAGACTAGGAAAAGACTGGGATATCCAACCTAACCCTGGTCATCTGCAATACCAAATAAGCTGGGAGGGGTCCAAGCTAGACTCAGAGAGTCCAAGAGGGTCCTGAATCTCCCAACTAAGTCTCCTCAACAAACCCATTCTAGTGCTGAAGATGTTCTTTCCATTGTGGCTAGGATCACTCCATTCCACCGGACTCTGTGCAAACCAAATTTATGTCTCAGACCTTCCGCCCAAGTGTGTACCTGCATCACTGAAAACAATAGGTCATCCTGGAGCAACCTGCTCTGGGAAAAAGTGCAGATGTCAGGCCAAGAGCTATTTATCAGTTTTCCCATATTCTACTTCATGCCAAGCCACAGTGAGAGCACAGGCTTATTCTGTCCAGGGCTGTCTGGTGAATGTTTGCCTCTGAACAGAAATTTCAAGCTCTAGTTCAACAGGACTGTGTGCAGGAAGGACTCAGCGTACAGCTAAGCCATCAATGCAGTGGTCACCTCCAGCTGTCATGCGAAAAGGCCCAACTTCGGAAAGCATTCCATATGCTCACTCAACTTCTCTTGGGTGACTTTTTGAAGTTGCTCCTGCCAAATCTGCATGAATAAGGGACAGATGAGATTTTAGGACACAGCATTTCTCTGACAGTTTGTTCTATATTTGGTTTTTGGAGCTACTCAGTAGATTTTGCAGATGAAAGAAAACTAGAATTTCATAGGCATGAGCCAGCATAGACTGGAAAGCTGCTGTGATCCACACCTGAGAATTGGATCAGCCTCAGTTTTCCCACTGATAGAAGGGTGACCTTGGGGAGGTTACTAACCTTCTTAAAATATTAGTTGATGAGTTGGTAAAGTGAGGCCAAATTATCAACCTCATGATACCAAACCCAGATTTATGTTGACTATTAAGCCATTTAAACTCAGAGGTTAACCCATATTCTGCTCTACATGGAGGATAATCTTCACTACTACTTCCGCCTTTAAATTTGAACATTGAAATTGTGTCCCCCAGAAGCTTGTGTACTAAAGAATCTAACAAAATCTCCTTACTGATCAGTCTGTACATTACTGAGTAATCTCCTTGGGCCAGAAATTGTGTTAGGCAGTTAGGGATACAAGATGACAAAGGACTGTCCTCTGCCATCCAGGAGAGCACATTCTTAGCATTGATGGACACATGAAAAGACAGGTACAATTCAACAGCTCAGGGGCAGTAGGGGACTTCGGGTAAGCTGCACAGAGGAGAGAGTTCCTTGCTCAGCCTGAGGGTTGGAGGTCCTGAGGGCTTTCCGGAAAGGGTGGGATATCAATGGAGTCTCCATGTAAGTAAGAGTCAGGCAAAGAGAGAGGGAAGAAAATTCAGTTTTTTTTTTTTTTAAAAAAGGAATATTAGGAGCAAAGACAAAGAGATAAGAAAATTAGGACAATTTTTGGAACTACAGTCAGATTGTGTTGTAGGAGCCCAAAGTGTGAAGCAGCGTTTGGTGCCAAAAAGGTGGGTGGGAATGACATCCTTGGAGGCTTGACCTTTGTTCTGTAGGCAAGGGGGGCCATAAACAGACATGGTTTGCTTTTCCCTTAGGAATATTACTGCATGCAGAGGAAGAAGGGAAAACTGAGAGATGGAAAGCCTTGGACCACCCCCCACCCCGCCCTTCTGAGAGAAAATTAACTATCAAAAATGTAGTGGAACTGCCAACAGTTTCCCAAAATCTGTTACATAAATTATAAACTATAGGACACATATTTGTTGCTCTGCATCAATGCAAAATTATAATTTAAAAACCAAAATAGAAAACAAAAACTCAGTTCTATGTCCAATAAACTGCCTCCACCCTGGTACCATTCAAACTTGTGTGTGTTCTCCCTGAAACAATACATTATAATAGCAGTAGCACCCCCTACCCCATCATGCCTAGGATAACACTGCTGTCCCAAGAACGTCTGTTATGAAATGAGAAGTGGAATCATACAAGTTCAAGCCATGTTCTTCCTCAAGTCCCAGATTCCAGGCACCATGGGGCAATGACGAGCCCTAAATAGTCTCCTTAATCTTGCCAGATGAAGTGTGTGTGTGTGTGTGTGTGTGTGCGCGCGCGCGCGCGTTAAAGGGGCTGTCATGACTTCAGTTTCACCAGCTGCTTCACAGAAGAATGAAGTGGTGGTCTTCTTTTGTCCCCCAAGTAATGGGCTTGCTTCACCTGGCTCAGCCCCCTCCGCCCACCCTTGCACAGACATAGCCCCACTCTAGCCCCACCTACTGCCTCATGCCCTGTGGGCAAGGAGATTAGAGTGCCTGCTTCAGAGCGAGAAGCATCTCTGATGGTTTAATACTGCTTTATGCAGAGATTTGCCCAGCAGGTCAGAGAAGTATGGGACCAAGGGTCAGTATAGAAACAGGAAAGAAATCCCCCAAATCCTGGCTACATCCCACTTACCAGCTGTTTTGCTTCTCCCCTGCAGTTAATCTGGCACATGCCTTCTCTCCTTTCAGCTGCTCTAGTGCCAGGAGCTCCCTTTCAGGGTGTGAGTGGGGATAGTGTGGCTTGGCTGCCCTGTAACTCAGGAGCCCCTGTCATGGGTCTGCACTGTGGCCAGAACCCTGCAGAAAGCTTATATTTTTCATAAAAGATTTCAAGTCATCTATATGATTTCCTAGCATTACAGGCAACCTGGGGAGAGAAGAGGGGAGCACATGGGTTAGGGGAGAGAGAGCAGCAGGATTCTGACTGGTGCTCTGGGACCAGCATGTAGCGGAGCCAGTGCTGGGTTCTGTTTAATTCCAGGCATCCTTCCATTGTTCCTCCCGCTGCACTAAGTCGGGAGGGGATGCCAGACTGCCCCAGCCTCGCGATATCCCACCCACACTGGCTTTTATCCCACAGACTATTTTTGACTGTGAACACAGAGCATTTGAATGCTTTTGAAATGAAATGAATGAATAAGTAAACAAATAATCTCTCATGGTTTCTTTAAGCTCTCCCTTGAAATGCTGATTGATTCTTTTATTCCTTTCAGCCCTTGTTATAAGAATTAAAAAAAAAAAATCTCCCTGCATCCCGGGTCAGTGCTGTTAGCAAGGGTGTGGGTAGGAGCGTGGAGAATGACCGGGGCCTGTTTTGTTCATTTGTTCATCCTCTCTTTTCCCCTCCCTGGAGGTTCCTGGCTTCAGTCATTTCTGTTCTCATCATACAAAAGTCAGAAAAGGGGAGCTTTTTCCTTCCTTTTCCTTGTGAGGGTTCCTCCAGGCACAGAGAGAAGCCATCACCACCTCTGTGGGGATGCGGGGTGGGGATGGTGGGAGACCAGCATCTCTCTTTAATTAAAATGCTTTCAATTATATCTGACTTAAGACCAGGGAAGCCCAGCTTCAAATCTGAAGAAAGCTGGAACAGGCTTCTTATGACTTGATAAAAACCACTCGTAAGAGCTAGTGAGCGGGAGCCCTAATCGGTTCTCCAGCTGTCTGGCCGTGTGAGCGGGGAGAGGGGGAGAGCCTCTGTGCCTCCCTCCAGCTCAGCCATCTCATCTGGAAGATGGCAATCAGCTGTCCTTTCTGAAGAGGACTGCAAGAGGTGAGAAGAGAGTGGCTGGCAATAATGCCAGACCCCCCCAGTGGGGGCGGTGGTCCTCCCCAGGGTAACCATGTTGGGCGTCCCTGCAGATTCACCTACACCCTCGGGGAGGGCATGTGGCTGCCCCTCAGCAAGAGCTTCGTGATCCCACCAGCTGAACTGGCCATCAACCCATCAGCCAAGTGCAAGACGGACATGACGGTGATGGAGGATGCTGTGGAGGTCAGGTGAGTCTGGCTTCAGGGTGCTGAGGCCCACGCTCGGCTTGGGAGGCTGAGTGAGAAACTTCTTGAAGGTTCCAGGTGCTGGGAAAGAAGTCATGACAAGCTGAAAGCAGAAGCTGGCAGTCTGCCTTCAAATTCCCCATGTGCATTGCCAGGATCTGCTCTTTATCTGGGTCAATATTGCACATCCCAAGGCTCATTCACTGGAAGAAGACATAAAATTAGAGTTTGTAAGCACTTCCCACATACCCTAAGGACTGACAGGCAATAAAATGTTCATTCCTTGCCCAAGTTTAGACCCCCGTCTTTGACCAGTCGTTACAGCCTTGGCTCGTTTCCCAGGTATGAAGAATGCCCATACTTTGTTAGTTCAAGACTCAGAGTACTGTTGAGCTTCAGTTTTTATACAAGAGAGTGAGACCCAATCCAGTTGACGAGATAGGAATGTGGGGTCTAATGCTACTCGTTGCTTCTGGAATCCCCTTGACTCCTTCCTGCCTCCCTCCGTTTCTCCCGCAGAGAGGAGCTGATGACTTCCTCCTCCTTCGACAGCCTGGAGGTTCTCTTAGATTCCTTTGGAGCAGTGCGTGATTGCAGCAAAGATAACGGCGGCTGCAGCAAGAACTTCCGCTGCATTTCAGATCGCAAGTTGGACTCCACGGGTTGCGTGGTACGTCTGCCCTGCCAAGCCAGTGGTTTCTGTTTGGGGAATGGGGAGGGAAGGCACAGGGGAGACAAAATGCAGATATATAAATGAAAATGTGCTGTGATCCCTAGTCGTGACCACCATCTAGTCTAAATTAGGAATTTTCTCTTGATAGAGTTGAGGAGCTAATCGCCGCTCAGTTAATCACGATGTACTTATGCAGCACCTACTGCGAGTGCGTGTACTATAACCATCCTAGGGAAAGCTCATGAATGATGGAGCATGATTCTTTCTTTCCCATCTTGCAAGATGGTTGGTAAAAACTATTTGAGAACTAATTCATTGCTTAGTAGAATGACACTGATTCTAAATGTAAAAGGAAATTTTAGGAAAAACCCGCCTTCAAGCTAGAATAATAAAAGTAAGTTATGCCAGGAATGGTAAAGAAAAAATAAAAATGTGTCCCCTGTGCAATCATAGCAGTAAACTCCTCCTTCTGCAAAAGTGGGTTTCTACTTTGTTACTGGCTCTATGGATTGTATAGACATCTTTAATATGCAAATACGTGATGCTATGAACTGGGAAGACTATTGAGACTAGAGTGGACTGAGGTATCTCCATGGNTATACAAGAGAGTGAGACCCAATCCAGTTGACGAGATAGGAATGTGGGGTCTAATGCTACTTGTTGCTTCTGGAATCCCCTTGACGCCTCCCTGCCTCCCTCCGTTTCTCCCACAGAGAGGAGCTGATGACTTCCTCCTCCTTCGACAGCCTGGAGGTTCTCTTAGATTCCTTTGGACCAGTGCGTGATTGCAGCAAAGATAACGGGGGCTGCAGCAAGAACTTCCGCTGCATTTCAGATCGCAAGTTGGACTCCACGGGTTGCGTGGTATGTCTGCCCTGCCAAGCCAGTGGTTTCTGTTTGGGGAATGGGGAGGGAAGGCACAGGGGAGAGAGGGGTGGACCTGGGCTAGGAACTTGGCAGGCCCACAGGGGCCATTTGTCTGGGAAATTGCAGAATTAGTGTCAGCAAACAGTGCACATCCAGCTGTGATCTTCAACTGGATAAGGAGGAGGTGGGGGAGGTGGGTTTTTGGAGGCACACCTGCAGCAGCTCTTGGCTACTAGTCCAAGGTGCCTGGCAGCAAAGGAAAAGAGCAAGCCAGGTTGCAGGGAGGGAGGGGAGATGTTTAATACTCTTCCACTGAGTTTTGAAAGTTTTGGTTTGGGTTTTGGAGGAGTGTGTTTGCTAGCTGACACCATGTGTACAATATGGCCATTAAAAGCCCAGGCTTTGGAATCAGATCTAGACAGACCCCCCAGCTCTGCCCCATTCTAGCTGCTTGCTCCTGGCCAAGTTATTTGCCCCTTTCCAGCCTGTTAGAAAGGGCCGTCTCTAATGGAAATGTGCAGAATCTGTTGCGCAGAGGCAGCAAGATGGCCAAAAAAAAAAAAGCCATTGGCTTTTAAAAGGAGTTCAGTGCAGAGAGGAGTTCATGAATTCATTGGCAATGTTAATGGTTTCCTTATCTTCAAATAGGGATAATATAGGGTGTTGTGAGATAAAATACCTAAAGTACTTAGCATATCCTGGCTCCTAGCAAGTGTTCAGGAAATGGTGACTATTGCTGTTGTGTAAGAGACAGTGTGGTGTGAGCTCATGACAGAGCAGCTGAGTCACAGACTCCATCACCAGACTGCCAGGGTTTCCAGTGTGGTCCTGCCATGAGCAGCTGAGCAATGTTAGGAAAGTTAAACACTGTGCCTCGGTTTCCTTAGTGTAAAATGGGGATGATCACACTACTTACCTCATAGGTGTTGTGAGGGTTAAACGAGTTAGGTGGTGAGTTAGGCAACTGCCTGGCATGTCACAGGTGCTGTGTGTGCTGCCGTTGCTTGCCAAGCCCCTTTGCCTGCCTCAGCCTCTGACATCTCTTCTTAAAGTTTCTCTCGTATAACTTCGTATAATGTATGCTATACGAAGTTATTACGCTAATCGCCGCTCAGTTAATCACGATGTACTTATGCAGCACCTACTGCGAGTGCGTGTACTATAACCATCCTAGGGAAAGCTCATGAATGATGGAGCATGATTCTTTCTTTCCCATCTTGCAAGATGGTTGGTAAAAACTATTTGAGAACTAATTCATTGCTTAGTAGAATGACACTGATTCTAAATGTAAAAGGAAATTTTAGGAAAAACCCGCCTTCAAGCTAGAATAATAAAAGTAAGTTAGGCCAGGAATGGTAAAGAAAAAATAAAAATGTGTCCCCTGTGCAATCATAGTAGTAAACTCCTCCTTCTGCAAAAGTGGGTTTCTACTTTGTTACTGGCTCTATGGATTGTATAGACATCTTTAATATGCAAGTACGTGATGCTATGAACTGGGAAGACTATTGAGACTAGAGTGGACTGAGGTATCTCCATGGCTATGACTAAGGTATCTCCCATCGCTATGAAGATTGTATTGAACCATGCAGGTAAATAGAGGCAGGAGCAAATGAGGCTGTGTCAGCCACTGGCTCCTATTGTCTGTTTCCAGCCGTCCCTTCTTTAAAGGGCGGAATGATGCGATCCTCAAGAGAGGAGAGGGGGTGGGTGGAGAAGAAAGTCAGGGAGCCACACAAAGTGAGCTCGGCGGGAAGGGAGAGATGACTCATTGAGACGCGTGGTTCTGCAGTGTTAGAGGGGGAAGGACCAGGAGCTTCCAGCTCTGGGGAGGACACGGTGCCCCATCCTGCTTCCCAGTCTGACAGCCGTGCAGGGACAAGCTGTGAAGATGCTGAGCCAATGCCACCTTCCACCCTCCACTCCTCCCCGTCTCTGAGCTGTCCGGGGAGCTGCTCTCCATTGAAGATGGATATGTCCCTGGGGTCCAGGGTGGAACTCTCCTGGCCCTAAGGCCTCTCCAAACTTTTACCAATTAGGCAGCAGTTGACAGGAGCCTGATTCATCCAAGAGGGGAGAGGAAATGAAGAAAAGAAAAGGGAAAGAGAGAGTGCTGAGGGGCAGATAGCAGGAGAACCTGGAAGGTCCATCATAAAGAGGGGAAAGAACGGAGCCGACTATCAGGAAAACACAAAGAAAGGTGCTCTTTAGGTCATGTCTTCCAAAGGCGGCCAGGTGCTAAGCTGAGGTCCTGCAGTGCTCTCCTCCCTATGGCTGGTCCACTGTCACATTTCTTAAGCAATGAGCTCCTCAACTGTGTCCCTCATGAGACAATTTTATATATAATGGAGCTCCAAGCTGAGATGCCTTTTTTTTTTTACTATTCAGCCTGCATTTCTTCATTTAGATTTCAGCCTTTCATTCCTCATTACTCTCGGGGGTCACTCCAAGCACTGAAACACTATATGTGCACACATGTGCATGTCACTCCCACCCCTGTAAGCCACCCTGTGTAAGTATGAGCATGACCCACATTCTCACATGTGTGCAAACGATGGACTCCCCCTCTCTTGCCATGTCTCTGCCCCTTCCTGAGCCCCTCAGGTCTGCCTGTGAGATGCCTT